AATTCCTTGTCACTTGTCCTGAAAGGAAACCCGGACATTACTTTCTAATTTTCCCAAACTTTCATTTTGTTCTGTTGCTTTGGTTCTTGGACAGCTTGTTGTTTAAAAGCATAAGTAATGCTGTAGTGCATCAGGTGAAGATCTACAAGTCACCATGAGTACCCTGAAGCTTTGCCGAGCTGCACCTGACTGAGCTTACACAGCTGGTTCCACTAGCTGTGAATGACAAGAATCACAAGGTGGGTCCTGCCTCCACCAGAGCTGTTCTGTTGCTGCACCACCCGAGTCTGAAGCTTCTCTGCAGCATTTGTGCCATTGGAGATGGCTTCTTGGAAGTGCAGATTATTCCTCCCTCCAGCTTCATGGACAGGCTCAAACCCTGCCGTTGGTGTGGGCAAAAAGGTAAGAGGTGGTAGAGCTATGGATGGAGAGAAATGAATGATTAGAAAACCCAAACCTGGGGTTTTCAGTGTGCAGTGGAAACTGCTGTGGTTCCAAGTTGCAATCCCAGATGGGGTCATTAGGTAGCATGTGTTTGCTAATATGCTGAGAAGTTTGGAGAAATCTGTGGTGACAAGGGAGGAACATTAAGCTTTTGGTAATTGTGTTAATCCTATAACAAATTGTGCAGATCACACTTTATTTTAAAGATATGCCTAAGGCTAAATAGTGTTCAGCTAAATTAGCAATGGCATGGCTGATGGAATAAATAAGGAAACTGGTTAAGATTAGAGATGAGGGGAATCTGGTTGAATGGCAGTTCGCAGATGGGTGTGATGAAGTAGACTGGTAGCTTAATTTAAAGCATGACAGAGTTTGACTGGAGAGGCATTTACATTTTTGGTTCAATGAATACTGAGGTAGTTAGGTTCTCCTGGAGACGTGGATCACTGTATGTGAGGCTTGCAGGGATGGTAGCTTTTCCTAGACTGGACATTTCCAGATGCTTTCTGTCCCAACAGCCCCTCTAGGCCACTGCTTCTCTGACCATAGAGGACCAAAGCCAGTGGCATTTGTTTCTGTGCTCCACTGAACAACTCTCAGCTTATGCAAAGTCCTGTGTATTTTGAATCCAACCTTTATTTGCTATGGTTTAAAGAAATGCTGATGTGTCTGTTCTGGGTACTTGCAAGGTATAGCATACTTAGGAGTCTTGAGTCCAGCAAGCCTTTTAAATGTGCCTATTTGAGTGGGATGGTTTGTACATTGATTATATGTATTTGTAAGGTCTTTTCTGGATGGAATTAAATGCTTTGAAGTGATAATCATTTGGGAAGAAAAGTGGAGATCAGTGTGTTATTGTGGCCCACTCCGAGGCACCGCTGCCAAATGCTGCTTCTGTCTAGGTGATGATTACTGCAGTTTGTTATTCTACCAATTCTGCAGCAAGTATCAGTGTGACAAATGTGCTGAATACACTTTTTAAAACCACAGAGTAGGGTTGTGAACAATGGTGACAATGATGCCCATCCTTACATGTGTATCTGCAGGGATCAGGTGCTGTGCTCGGAGGAAGGGAGACTTGGACTGTGGAGATGGGAAGGGACACAGGTGGATTGCATTAGGTTTCAGCTCACAATGGGAGTGTGCTTTCAACAACAGTCAGGCACTCTGGGACAGTCTCTGTTCACCTGGTGCCATGGCTCCTACTTAAATCAATAAAAGCAGGAATACTCTGCTGCTATGGTTTGTCTCCTGTCTGAGTTCACGAGGTGAGGAATTCCAGGATGTGTTTCCTCTTCTCCATCCTTTATGACAAGTGATAAGGGAAAAAAATTAACTGAAAATGTTCTCCATCTTCCCTCTGCTTAGACTTTGCTTAGGGGTGCAGCTGGGAGGGAAGCTGCTGTTCTGAGCCACAGGCTACAGTAACACAAGGTGCAGGGGGCTGTCTGTCCTGTGTCTTCTTCGCTATCTTGCCCCTTGTTAGACAGGACAGATTTGTTGCAGAGTAATTGGGTTGGGCCTTACCAATGACCAACTTAGGGAAACCCACACAAATCCAGAAGATGATGTTTCCTTTAGCTGCTTCAGATATTATGGGGTTTAATGTTTGATGGACCCTTCTGTGGCACACTTAACAGATTTCCAAGTCCATATATTTTGAGTGGCCTAAGCACTCTTAGCAAAGAAAATATTGTGCTTTTTCTGACCTTCCTTACACACTGCAAGAACCAGGGAATCCTGTTCCTTGCAATGCACTCCTACCTGGGTGGGATGTAGAGAAGTTCTAATGCAGCTCTCAAAATCCAGCTTCCATGCAAGACATTGGGTTTGATTTAATTTCTTTTGAGGCAGGGGCAGAGGGTCTCATCTCCGTGGTGGAAGAGCAACAGCAGCAGATTTTACTTGGCTTCTGAAAGCTCAGGTTCATTGTCAGTAGGAGCCCAGGTTTCTGAATACATGCTTTTTGCGTGCGTGCGTGCTCTTCATTAAGCTGGCAATCTGTTCTTGTTCTATCTATGTGATGACACAATAAAACTAAGACAGAGTTGAATACTTACTTTCTTTCCATGATTTTAATGTCTACTGGAAGGTTTCCTTTAGCTCTCAGACAGATTTTTGCCTGCTACAGTCATTTTGTTCTGGTTTGCACTGGAGGAATCTATGACTAAGCAGGTACCCTGGAAACCTTTCCAAGCGGGCTGTATACTGTGCTTCAAAATCATCTAAATACCATTTCTATGTACAAAATGGAAGGTACAACACTTCTTGTTCTTTTTTTTAAAGCACTGATCCTCTCTCCTACCAGCTGAGTGGCCTTTTTTCCCCTTGTAAAAAGACAGGAGCGTAGATGGACACTTGATGTTTCAACTCAGCCATGCGTGCTTGCTGCTTTTACTCTTCCTTCCATTAACTCTCACAAGATTTGGCACAACAAGAGCATTATATAAGACTAAATAACTCTTACGTAAATCTGAGTGAATGCATTTCATCCAGTACTGGGTGCTTATCGTGGCTATAAGTAAAAATGAACCACTTCCTTTTTAAATGGGAGCTCTAAACCTTGTATTTTGTGTAGTTAATTGCCACGAGCCAAAATAACCTTTTGAGCTCTATGAATTTTCACAGCTGCAGACGGGAGGAAAAAAAAACCCACACTGATAAATAGAGCCTTAGGAATTTCTAAAAGAAACGATTCCCCAACTGCTTCTTTTAGCACAAAGCCCAGCTCATGTTTGCCAGAATGTTAAATGTTCCTAGCACATGTCTATAGCGCCAAGAACCTCAGTCTCATCTAAAGGATAGAATGAGAAAGAACAACTCAAGGGCAGTGTGAATTTGATGCTTTAAGAAGAGGCAGCACGTCAAAAAGCACAGATAATTTAGCTTTTGATACAGGCTCACAGACCAAGTAGGTTCTGGGTTTAGCAGCTCAGTAACAGAGTTGTGGAAGACCAGTCAACTGACATGTTACTGTATATAGGGAAATAAAGGGATGTACCTTGTGCATGCTTTTAAGATAAGGGAATAACTATCTGTATTACAAGGCAAGATGAGTATGTGGAATAGAAATCGGGAACGTGTGAGGAAAGATCATTTCCACTCTCCTTGAGGAAAGTGAGAACCAGTACTGGGAAAGATAGGAGGCTGTGGAAACAGTACTGGGACTGCAGTCGTAAACCCCAGTTGTGCTGGAGGAGGAGTTCTTTGGCCTGTCATCCTCCTTTACTATGGGATGGGTAGCTCCTGGTGTGAGAGTGAGTTCCTTGCTTTCAGTGAAAAGACAAGCAAAAGCAGGAGAGAAGGACTTGGTGTTGGAAGAGCAAGTTTTTGTAGGGAAGTAGAAAGAAAAGGGAGGTTGAAGGTCAGAAACCCACTGGCCATCATGTTAATGAGGAAGGGGAAGGAAAGGGAGGGAAGCAGAGAGGAACACTTGGTAAATACCAAATGAAGCAAACAATCTCTATTGGGTGGTAGAGAGGACCTAAGGCTGGAGAGAAGGCTGAGGTTAAAATATTCTGCTAAAGCAGCATCATAAATCATCAACACAGAAACTGAAATCCCCTGTGGGCAAACACAGGAGTGAAAAGTATGGGATATAGTCAGTATATTAAAAGACCAGTGGATGGCAGCATATTTTTACAACCAAAATACTGGCTTGTCGTGCCACTTGTTTTGGTTGTAGCCCATCTACTGACTAATACATCGCACATCCTGAGAACAAATCCGTGTTTGTCTGATAAGTTAGCGCAGGCTGGGAAGATTTGTGCTTTGTGTGTAGAGTTCATATTTCTCTTCAGACAGTGGTGACTGCTGTGGTAGCCGTCCCACACTGAGTCATGTGGGAGAAGTGCAGCATGTTTTACAAGAATAGGAGTGAAAGGCATAGAGTAATGAGGAGGGCAACATCCTGTGAGCTGTATGCACCCTCTAAGAGTTTGGAACAGTGTTTCAGGAGTAACAGCTCAAAAGGCTATGCCTAAAGAATGACCTTAGTGTGTTACTTCTGATAAGTTGGGTGTGGTCTCGTTCCCAAGTTTACTGTTCTGCTATGAAGCTGATGAGTTCTTCTCAAAAGTTGGGAATAAAATCTGTAAACTGTAGAGAAAATTTTTGAGGTATAAAATTAAATATAAAGAGAAAAACTTGAGTACCAATTCAGGCCATAGTGTAACAGCCATCCAACCCAAAACTGGGATGCATGAAAGTAGTTAAAGGGAAGATGCATCTGCTAATTGAACTTGAGAAAAAAAACCCCACATCTTGTTGCTTATCATATTTATTCACTCTATGTGGAAAAATCCCAACAAATCATAATGGATTTGACTCATTGCCATATAGAACTGTCTGTATTCCACGTTCACCTCAGTTTTAACAGAGAAAGAAAACTACACATTTAAAAGAACATTTATAAATTCATTTGATAAACAGACTTCCAATAAACTTGTAAAAGTTAGAAGGAAAGGTATTTAAGACTTATACCTCATGTTTTCTGAAGCAAAACACTTCATGTAAAGCACACTTGACATCGGACTTCCATACACCTCAGAGGTTTTCTATGTAGTCTTCACTAAAGTGTACTTACTAAGTGTTTCACAGTTTGAGAGCATGAGTTCCTCCATCAGCTACCCTGTGAACTAGATACTTGCTGTAAACAATGCTTCTATAGAGAGGACAGCTCAAATCAGAAGAGGGGATTAGCAGTCAAGTTTCTTTGGAAGATAGTACATTGCATTTGGTTCTGACTCTTACAAACAGCAGCAGACAAAAAGCATGGTAATCATCTCAGTTATTTGAGGCCCTTCAGTTTTAAAAGCATTTGTAAGAACAGGTTCAATTATAACAAACTGATATTTGCATAATTAACTTTGAAACAAAGCATTCTGCTCGTGATAAATGCATTAAGAGCTGAAATACATGAAGACAAGCTATTCTGTTTGTCAACTTGTCAGATGCATGCTGAAGCCTCCCCTTCTAATTACAAGATGTTTAGCACAGCTCAACAGATTATTTTGAAGTGACTACAGAAGCTGGAATGTTTTTTCCGTTGTGGCACGTTTCATCTGAGAAGATTACCATGACAAGACATGAAAAGGAAAGAGGCCTGAAAAGCAGTCATTTATAGACGCTCTAATTTTTCACTTAGAAATTCTTCCACGCTATCCGTATTCCACTTGAGGATGCTCAGTTCTTCTGCAATGTTCCCACTGTCATCGAGCAGCTTCAGTACAGGGTCAGAACCACGCACATACTCCAGGGAAAAAATGAGAGTCAGTTACCTTGGGCTGGATTAACACACACACCCCGAACTGATTTAAATTAAGTAAAAATAGCTCAAAGCAAGAATAGTAACAAGTCCAAAGAGTGACATCAGGAACACTCAAGAACAGAGCACTAAATTACATCAGAGTACTCTGGGTAAGCTTTGGCACTACACTTTGTGCTAAGAAATCAACCTGAGCTTGGGCTTTTTAAAGCTTAGAATAATGCAATAAACCCGACCAGACAAGCTTGGTTGCTCCTGACAAAAAATACAAGTATTCCAGTGCCAACTCTTTTATTCTGATTTTATGCGTTTCATTCCTACTGTTTAACAACAATGGATTCTACTTTTCTTGAGGAAAACAGATCTGTAAGATTCAAATTAAGAAATGAAGCTTAGGAGCTCAGTCTTTCAGCTTGTTTTCTCCTATGCTGCTCCCTTCTCTCCTCCAGTATTTTTTCACCTACTGTGCAGATTCAAAGGAGAAGGCAGATTTCAAAGCTAGAGCTGGTGTGCGTGTGTGTGTGCAAAGGAAGAACCAGTAAAAGGGGTGACACCATGCAGAGGCTTTAAACATGGAAAGATGCTGGAGGCTGCACACTCCACTGGCAGCAGTTGGCCAGTGTTTGCAGCTATGGATCAGGTGCTTTCTTGTTTAGTCCCAAGAAATGAGGGTGGGAGAAAAGAAGGAAGCATAAGGGACAAAGAGGCCTCATTTCACAAGAAATTAAAACACACAGTGTTTGAGATCCAGAATCCACATAAAGTGTTTGAGATCCAGAACAGTTATTTGCCTTAAACAAAACAGGCAGGAAACAGCTTCAGTTTAGACTTCTCACTTGCATTTAATGTTAAAGAGAAGAAAGTGGAGGAATAAGTCAAATGAAGGGGTGGGGTGGTGTCAAGGGTGTGTATGTGTTTGAGTAACATCTACTTCTTGTCTTTGGCCCACCACACAAGCTAATGCACATACACGGGGGCAATGCCATAACTTTGGCTTTGAAAGATGGTATTCTGCTTCAGCTGGTTTAAGTTACTGAAGTTAAGATTTTTGAATCAAGCAGCTGAATTATTTTTCTCCTATAATAAGTGGCCTTCTTACCTTTTTAGAAGTTTCTGGTCACTTTAACAGCTCCAAGGTACTTCTATCAATTTCTAATGTAATCCCATTCTTTCACCTGCTAGGCTTTGCTGGTAACATAATACTTTAATGCTTCTGCAGACTCACTAAGTCACAAACTATGTAATGCAAATAAAAACTTCACAGTAGTAGAAGGCTTTAACCATTTATGTTTATGGAAGGATCTCCCCAGGAGTATTTTACTTTACCCTACAGAGCTAACCTAGTTGATTTTACTTAACTAAGCTAGTGGCATCTCCAATCCATTTTCCAAGTGCCTTGTAAAATAAATACAGATCCATTTGCACTCATTTTTTCTGGCAGTGCTCTATACCAACTGTACTCTAGACTGCTTTGGTGTTCAATACAGCTACAAAGCTTAAAATAAAAGTGAAACAGTCAGACACGCAGAAGGAGAGAAAGAAACTGGAGGACGCAGAGACATGAATGCATGAGACAGAGGAAATCTGTTTGAGATGGAATCTGCTGCTCAGAAGACAAATCATTTATTGCAGCCATGCACAGCTATGAAGTGGTTCCAGATGGTGCCATTTGGTGAATAGAGATGGGAGCACAAGATGTGAGAATCAAGCTGTGTATCTGTGAAGTATGCTGGAAGTTCACACAGGATTGTAAGAGGAAGGTGAAGTCTTACACCACATCTTGAACCAAAGAATTGTTTCAGCTTGAGGCAGTGCATCTTATGTAGCTTTGCATATATACAAGTTATAATAAACACCATTCAGCATATGCATTTCTATAAAGCTGGATGTTTGAGGACTATAAACAGCATCATAGAACACAGCAAGGAAATTCTGAGAGGGAGGAGAGAAATATAAGAATCACTGAAGGTAGTGAAACAGCAGCTCCAGCTCCACCAGAAAATGAGGGGAGAACAGAACAGGAAGAAAGGAAACTATGGCAAAGTAAGCGTGAGTAAATCCAAAATATCCACGGAGTAAGGACTAAATGCAGGTATTCCTCACATTCTTCTGCCACCTGCTATTACTTATGGGTTCCATTTTTTTTTCCCTTGGATTAAGAAGAAACAACAGCAAAACCCTGGCCCCCAACAACAAATATTGGTACCAAACAGTTACTGAACAATAAATCAGTTAGCGTCAGCAGCAGGAACCTGTAAAGATTTGTACTGGCAATGCACATGTATGTCCTCTGCTAAGGGACTGTGTGATCAGCAGATAAGGAACAATCCACAGGAGGACTGTCTCCATCAAGCTTGATTCTTCCTAACAACCCAAATGAAAAAGTTGGGTTACTACTCACCTTGATTTGCAGTCCCCTGAAGAGTTTTGGCTTATCACTCCTGACAAAAGCTATGGTTTGAAGAAAAGAAAGAAAGATAATCAAGTTCTTCTCTACTTGCATAAAGGAGATTTACATTCAAGCCAGTATTCCCTGAATTATTTCTTTTGGAATGATATTTTAGAAGATACTTTAATGTTAAAATTCTTAAAATCCTCACAAAATAATACGAAACCTATCACACCTAAGGAATACCCTATTTTTCCTAGTATTCCAAACAACCTTCGTATCTGCTATCAGTTTACCTGCAGGTACCACTGCCAGGCTTCAGCAGACATGCTGCTGTGATATGCAAATGTGAGGAAAAATGTTAGAGTGACCAAAACCAGGCTGAAGAGCAGCTTTGTGAGGGAGGCTGAATAGGACACACATCCCATCAGCACGCTCACACTGCAGGTGAAGGGAGCACAGAGGAAACCGCGGGTAGAGGTGTCATTCTTGCAAACAAGACAATCTTATCCTGCAGAGATCTCTGAGGTTACATGTTGAAAACAGCAAGAAAACAAGAAGCTGGTATCTCCTCTTGCCCCTCCTGAAGGCAGTCAGCTTTAAGATGGGCTCTATGGCCTGTCATGTAGCTACATGGAGAGTTCAGGTCTGAGGGGGGCTGCTGCTGAATAATCCTTCACTGGACGTGCTAGTCAGCAAACGTGAACAGCAGCATAGTCCCTGTATCACTACAGCACAACCCAGGCCTTGTTTTAATGTTAACTTATGAATTATTCCAGGACAAAGTGTGAGTATAATCCCCTACTTCCAGATATTTTAGTCTGATGAATGTCTGAATTCAGAAGTATTTAAAATCTGTTTAGAAAATCATAGTCTTCATTCTTCCTTTTTACATTCAGGTTATGCTAAAGGCTGAATTTAGTATCCATACTGACATTAAGCAGACTCGGGACATTCCTGTCGTATCCCCAAGGATGAACCCTGTCAGTACAGACTGACTCTTACAGAAGTGCCACCTGCATGTTAAAGCTGCTGCTTCAAGGTTAGACAACAGTGACTCTCACAAACTGCAGTGTGTCCAGCTGGTGCATGGAGATGAGTTTAACTCGGGACTGATGTTTCATACTGTCTCACAATGGGTAGTGCTTTCCTCCGTAATGGTCAAGATGTCCCCTGGCATCTTTATACCTATCTTTATATCACTGTAGGCAGTTACCTGAGCACTTTCTCAGTATATATATATAGAGAGAGTGGCATTTATTTTCTTCCCTCTCCCACTGTGCTCCCTGTACAGATCAAAATCATACCCTCTGCTGGCTGCACCAACCACTAACACAGTAAAAACCGGTAAAAAAATACCAGTGGCCCATGAGCTGCCAGATATACTGAAGAAGAAAGTAAGGCTTGTTTCCATTCTTTCTACAGAACTACATATTAATGTCATATTGTAAGCTGTACTTGGGTAACAATTTCAAATAGCACTAAATAACCAGTTCTTGCTCACATCCTGCAGTTCAATTCTGAGTCAGAGACGTGATTTTCAGTGTTTCCCATGTCCTTGTGACCACTGTCTTAGCCATCACCAACAAAAAGTGCACAAAAAAAGATATTCCTTATTCTTTGTAAAGTCCCCAGCACGTTGAAGTGTTTCATGGGGAATTTTTCCACATTTTCCTTTTCAATTTCAGTCTAAAGCTGCACTCAGCCTCTAGGGCTCTGTATGAAAAGGAGGTTGTAAGAAGTAGTCAGTACAGTGGCTAACTTGAATTGCAAAACTTAAATGGCAAGAGAGAACAGTGAAATGGATAAAGTTTCAGAAGCAAATCTCAACTGTGGAATTTAATTGTATTAAAGAATAGCCTTTGGGGGTTACCTCCAGTTACTGGTGTGAGGATTTGTGACTTGAGTGACACATGAAAGCTCATGTGGACGTGAGTGGCTGTTCTCTGCCTTCAGTGTTGGATGGAACAAGCTCACATAAAATGGGGACAGAATGAGGTAGAAGGCAGCAGTATTGCATTTTGTCACTTTAAAAGTAGCTATTACACACTTGTATCAATGTCAAACGTCCAAAGCTTCCGAAAGCTGAAGCACTACACAACATTCTCCCTGCAGTTTTAGACAGCTGGAACAAAATCAGTCTCTGTTAATGGCATATTTATTTCTAATGCTGATCATAGGCACTTTCTGCATTAGTCACCTGAATTTGCAATGTGACAAAGAGAAACCCTCACTGTACAAATAACTTCATTTGTATGTCCTGACCTTTGGCAGCTGAAGTGAGAAACTAACATGCTGACATGCTTTAAAAGTACAGATCAGCCCATCAAACACTTTGGGGTTTTTTGCCTTTGCACAAAATCATGTCTGAAGTTGAATAAACCCTTGGAATGAAACCCATGGGGTTAGGAAGTCGGATGTAGCTACAGTGTGCATTTTGGGACATTCGACTGGTTGCTTATCATGTGATGGAGTGCACATGCACAGCACTGCCTCAATGCTTTCCCTTCTGTACTCATCATTTAATAGTCTGATGTTTAATGCTAAAATCCAAGCTACCTCTTCATTATCTTCTCCCTGTAGCAACTTCAGAAATTACACCCAGAGAGAAACAAGCATTTATCTAACTCACGGGTTACTCAGAGCATTTATCTAGCTCATGGGCAAGCAAGGAAGGCATTTTCCACTTCGACTTCTGTAAGATGAAGTCTGAGCTTGGTGCCATGCCACTGTGTTCCGGTGAATTAAACACCAGACTACAAGTCAGAGCTGTTCTACTGCCAGCTTTGCAACTGTCTTTTCACATAATGTTAAGAAAATCACTTCACCCTGTGCTCTTACACAGCATGTGCAATACCAAAGCATGTGCCTCCTGTTTGAAGGCAATCCTGAGGTGAGCCTACAGAGTATGCTTGATTGCCACGCAATCAACTGCAGCTAAAAGGTCAGAGGAAAGGATCAGGTGTATGTAGGCATTTTAAAGCCTGCCCAGCACCTAAATTGTTTTGCAAAGAAAGGTAGTACCAAACAGTGCTTTTAAAGACCCAAGAGCATCCTCTGCCCTTGAACACAGCAGAATGGAGAAACTCACTGCTATTGTTATAATATCCCTTTGTTTTGATCTATTTAGACATTTCTGGTTTGAGAAAGTCTGTGAAAACTCATTTGTTGGAATTAAAGCCTGGAGTCCTAAGTGTAGATGACTACGGAATCTAAGCATCACTTGGGCCCAAGCACAGGGCCAGTCTGTGTATGTACACATACCGGCACTATTCTCTCTGAGGCACAGTAGGATACACCATAACAAAACTTCCTGACCCCAAATGTTCATGACACCACATCTCTCCATGCAGAGCTGCAGATCTATATGCTAGGCATAACTTCTTTGTAAACAGAGTTGACTACCTGCTGTTACAGATTAAGGGCATGATCCAGACTACCAAGGATACCTACATTCAGGAATATTCACATTATTTAGATTCCTGTTTTAGAAGCAAAGATCTCCTGCTTGATCTGTAACTGAACAAAGTTATGTTGAGAAAAAATTAATCTCTTAATACTTGAGAGCCAATGTACAATGGCAGTAAAATCTCACACTAGTTTTCAAACAACTATGCACACAGACAAGTGTTCTTAACCTTGTCTGTCTCTACATGCATCCGAAGGATTATAATGGCCTCAAAGCAGAAAGGCCCAGAGGAGATTAAAGAAACCTTACTGTCTCTATTACATCAGTTTCAGATTCTAATGGCAGAAAAGCACAAGTCCGAACTAGTCAAATCTTCAGCACAAGGTCAGCAATAAATCTTTACTGCACAATTTTTCCTGCTGGTAAGGTACAGCATGTCTTCTGATAAGAATCTAATGTGATTAAGCATCTGCCAGTAATGGAAAAGTCCACTTAATCAAACTTCTGACCTTTTTGTTATTTAAAAATCTGTGCTTTTAGTTTAGATCTATTCCATTGTGGTAACACTAACAAGGTCTCTGTATGCCCACGGGGATTTATCCTTTTTATACTGGACATACCCTTCTCAGTTTATGCTATTTTTTGAGTAAACAGAACCCTTTAGCTTCTTCTAAACTCTTGATGCTGTGAACAGATACACAGCTTTGTATTACAGGCGAGACTCATTTCAAATGCTGATTATGCACTGAAAAGCAGCATGGTCCTTTTTTGATGAAGGTGACTGTCCCTCCACATTACACCAAAATCACCCATTATGTGATCAGGGCAAAGAACTGTTGGTGTTCCAAGAGCAACATCAGAAAGGAATGCTTCCACCATCAGCCAGGAGTAAGGAGGTATGTTTCATCACTAGTATAAAGGATGATCTATTTTTAGTGAAATATTGAGAGCCTTTTTGTGATGCATTCGTTTCACACATTGAATTAGCAATAGGAAGCAGGTGAGTTATTATGAGCTTTCAAAAGACATTTGATCAAATAGTGGCATGGTACTTTCCGCAACTCAATGCAGCATAAACAACTGATTTTTAATACAAACAAGAAAGACTGAATGTATATAAATTAAGTGCAGTGATCTAACACTCATACAGAAAAGGAAGATTAAAGTACATCTAAGATTATCTGTACCTAGTTGTTCTGATTGAAAGTAGTTAATTTCAACGAACAGAAAGCAAATGGAGTATTAGCATACCTCAAGGAAGTAAAGGGTAATCTGTTTAATTTGACCCTGAATTATTAGACACAAGCAGTTGGAAAGTAAAAAAAATAAATTACTAGAAAGACAAATTTGTGCAGAATGTCACAGATTTGTACATAAAAAAGGCACAAAGGATTGACCATACCACAAACTTGACCATTTTGTACCTGAAATGAACTCAAATGAAACAGTAGTTTTATTGAGGCATTACTGATTATCACATGGACTCCTGTGCTAACAAAGTTAATCTCCTCACACCCTTGAAGTGGGAAAGAAAATAGCTTTGCTCTGGTCTTGCAGTCAGTTAACTAAACTGTGTGTGGTAGAGGTGGCAGGAGAGGGTCTAGTGGCAGGGGGTTGGAACTGAATGATCTTAAGGTCCCTTCCAAGAGCATTCTATGACCCTATGATCTACGAACTTCCCTAAGTTATAATCTGCTTTAAAATCCTTCTTTTACTTGTTTGTTAGTCAGCCTTCAAGCAGGGAGGTATTAATGCTGGCTGTGGTAGATGGAGACATGCTGTTTGTGCAATTTTATGTCTAAAGCTAGATTAGTCTTTCTTCTCTATGGCCAAAGTACAGTATTAGGATCTTCATTAAAGAAGTCCAGGTACTGCTATCATCGAAGCTCTTCCCCCATTTATAAGAAAATTGCATTTTAAACTTCTCACAGATGTTTTTTCCCCCCTGCAGCTTCCTTCCACCACACACTGATGGTTCTGATTTTCCTTTCACACTACTGTATTCCATTCACTTTAATTGACTGTCATTATCCACTGACAAAACAATTATACTGCAGGAGCTGTGAAAAGAAAGTAGTTCCATAAGTGCACAATATGATTTCATCTATCAATTATTAGAGACCAGTTCCATGAGTCTCAGGTCAATGCAACTTTCCTGATATAATACATGAAATTTATGACTACTTGTAGTAGTACTTAAAAGCACATTTTATCATTCAGCTGTGACAGTATTTCACATTTGAAAGAACATTAGTGGCTTTACTTACCCTGGACTTGGGGGAACCTTCCCAATTTTCATCCGCATACCTCTAGGACAGCTCCTGCATAAAGCTGTAAGAAAAACCAGAGGCTGTTAAGGACAAAAAAAAGTCTAAATTACTTGTGACATGTTTTATCTGTTGAACTGTTTTTCTTTGAGGAGACAATACACTATTGTGTTGATGGTAACAAGTAAGATCCTAAAGAGAATTGCAGTTCCAGACCTGTCTCTGATTTATGCAACAACCGACTGTTCAGTCAAGATATGTGATGATTTTCTTTTATTGTATTAAAATATGTAAAGCCAGGAAGAAGCAGCTCATTTGAGATATACTGCTGCTGGAAGCAAAGCTTCATTAAAAAAAAATGCAATCAGAGATGTTACAATGGGAATTATGGACTAGTAATAGGAAAACTTTATTTCTTCCTCCTCAAAGATGCTAAGAAAATCTCATTAAGTGAAACTTAAGTCTCCATTTTAAACTTACCTTGGACAGTAAAATACTGTTTATAATAAAGATAAGGCAGTGACTTTAGACTTCTCATTTGGGCTAACTATTAATAGTTTATTGTACTTAACTGTGATTGCACAAAGAGGAGAGATCGCATTACTAGGCCTTAGCTGGGCCAACTTCGATGCTTGTACATAGATGTCAGTCACTTCTGTCAGCTGTGCAAGATACTCAAATTCAATGTTCTTAAAACATGAGTTCATTTCAATTTTATACAGCATCTAAATAAAAAACCCAGCAAACCCATTGATATTGTACCCTGTCACATGGTTTTAAACTTTCTCTGGGGTTTTTTGGCAATAGGCAATTGATTCTATAGTTTGCTGAATCTTAAATATAAATTAACAACACATTTTTTCTGGCTACTGCAGTAGAACTTCATACTGTGAAGTTCAGCATCATAATCTTACACACAGCTGTCAATACTGTGTACCAAGTCATGTCCTTCTAACCCTGAAAACACAGTTTGTAGCAGAGCTGACAGAATAAGCTTCTGTTAAAAGTTTGTTATTCAATTCATTGCCTTCTATAAGCAATGAAGACCTCTGCTTTCGTTTTCAGTGTTTGCAAGTTGGGACATGGAAAAAATACAACCTGACTGTAATGAAATGAATTCACATTTCACTTAAAATATGAACTGTGAACACATGTAATTAAGAAGAAGCTTTCACTATGAAATATTTAATGAGTACGAACCCTTCTAAAAAAGGAGAAGTGAGTCATGAAAGCAAACCACAGACAATACAACAGCAGCCTCAAAGACAAATTAACTCTATGTGGGCATTACAGACAGCCAGGAATACACATCTTCTGAATTCAGGTAAAACTCAGTATTTGCCTAAATACTATGAATCAGAACATAAAAACCTACCAATAATCTGCAGTTACTTGAAAAATAACTTTATTTCTTGACATGAACTCATCAGAAATCGTTGTTTCCACAAGAAACAGGACAAAAAATGTTGCATTGCATTGTCTGTCCAAAACAGCATCTCAGAAATTTGCTTCACTACACTTAATTTTCAGCTAAATATTAGATTTAAGAACCAGGATTTAACTGTTAAACCCTAGAACTGCTATGAAACAATACTCAAAAGATCAAGAATACAGCATTTCTTTTGAAGCTTTTTTCCACCACCCAAATAAAAATTTTAATTAAAAAAGGCACTGATAAGCAGCTCAGATACTTGCTTGCATAATTAAAGTTCCTCTGGAATTAAACCAGGAGAAAAATTACAGAGATAGAGGAAACATGGAACAGTGAGATTATAAATTTCAATTACTTTGTCTCTATTCATTATTCTTCAACAAACATTCAACAACACTTCTATCAGCAATCCTGGATAGATTTAGATGATAGTTCACACACTAACACATTGAACATTTAGACTGGTTCTCTGATACTGACAGTTATCTGCATTCTCCCATCCAGTTAGTATAAAGAATTAAACAAGTAAAGAACTAAGTACACCCAAATCTAGGGACAGGGGTAAAACAGGCATTTGTTTAAATTCTCATTACTGCAAATAATTCTTAATGGTTTATTTCTTCCTTCCAAACAAGGATTTCTATGGAACAAGATCACTTTGGTAATCTAAAGCATGTTAAGACATCTTGTAATTACAGACTACTCCCAGTTTGTAACTCCTAGTCAGTATCTGATAGAAGTGAAGTTTATCAAAGAAAATGGCTCACTCTTGATGTCTATATTTTGAGCTTATTACTCTGCCATAACTGAAGCCCAACTGTGCTGGTACAAAGAAGTTCAGATTCATGCTGGCACAAACAGCTGCTCTCTAGATGGCCAGACAAGAAAAAAACCCCCAAACCAGTGAAAAACCCTGAAAACTCAATTGGCTTCATTTATAACTCTGAACAAAGGTGTCTTTAGCAAGAAACACAGGTTTATTTGCATCAGTTAGCCCACAACAAAAGCAGACTTGTTAATATCTAGTGCTGATACCATCTCATCATGTCCAGAGCAGATGTCCTCTGAACTTCCTTGTGAAGGCATTTACTGTGTTCAAGTGTTCCTAAGGATGACATGTATCACTCAGTGTGGAGGCACACAAACATGTCTAGTCAGTTCATTACAAAATGCTTAACTCAGAAGTTAAGTTCATTTTAAAATAATGCTTCACTTGTTTTAGTGCTGATGGAAGTGAGTTTAGTACTACAAACAATGAAATAAAGACTCTAAACTATTACTAGAGTCCACTTTAACACCCCAGACAAGTGCTGTTACGATGGGCAGGCTGATTCATGCTGGCGTCTATAAATATAACTTAGCTTTGTTTATAACATTCTAATGGTATGTTTTCTAAGGCTATTGTGACAAAATCCCTCATCTTTTACAAAGCATCAACTCGAGTGAAATTTCAATCAAAAGCTTACTGTAAGCACCTGAACATCTTGTAGGAGTTCACAGTGATGTAATGAAGATGGCTCTTCACAAGTGAGAGGAGGAAAACCACACTATCAGTCATGGCTGCTTTAGTGATGAAGTGGTAGTTGTAACAGAATAAACCACCATTTACCTAACAGCAGTGTTAGATAAAAATGTGTATTGCAAAAATAATGTTCCAGCAATTAAAAACAATGAACCTTAACTTAGGTAAAAGAAAATATTTCACCTGTTATTAGGAAAGGAATGGAAATAATTTATGCAAGACAAAGTTCATTTCTAAACAGACAATATTGTTATCACAATTACTCAAGGTGAAAACTCCAGAAGAAAAATTACGTTCCTGCTATGTAACTGTTAATATTTACAACCAAACAGGAATTCAGATCAAACTGAACTGAAAAAGAATGGTCCTAAACAGAGGTTGTTCCTTGATCATAATAAAATGACGTCAGATCAAAGGTGACAAAAAGGTTTTGTAAAATACAATAAATTATACCTAATTTTACACCTATAGCACCAATACTTCGCATACTGGTTTCTTGTAAATACTAAGCCAGACCCTGCACAGGTTACAAAGTGTCATCCAAACTGCATTTGTACCCCTTTACAACTAGCTGTATGAAATTCTAGCACCATCATGTCTTAAAACGTGCAACAGAAGAGGCTGTTAAGGTAAAGCCACACAATGGTAGATAGCTATCGTATGGTATCTAGATTCTCTCTGATACTGCATGTTTTCCTCTCCCAATATCAAACTGTTTAAAAACTAAAGCTAGGTTCTGAGAACAAGCAGTACAACGCAATTTATGACTACTGATAAAACTAGAATTGTCTCTTGCCCCAGGTACAGGACAATCTTCCACTAATCTCTTTCCAATGCAAACGATATTTGTTTCCATGAAATTCATTACAATTTTGATTTCATACTCCTATATAAGCAGATGCCCTAAAGAAGCCTCCTCATTCCCTATCAACTTATGCTATTGTTTTACTTCAAGGAAAAGTCAGGAAAAATACAGATGATATTATTATTCTCAGCCAAAGCACCTTGGTACACGCAAACTGCTTTTGTTTTCAAATAGGGTGCCTGATCCCTTGTTTGAAAGGCATGCAATCTCATTTTTAGTGTGTTCCACCCAGCCAAAGCAAAGCAAGTTAATAATTGGTATTTATTCTCCCGAGAAATGAAGTCACAAGATAAAGAGATTTTGGTGCAAATCTCTTCTGCTCTTTCCTAAACTCCTGTAACTATCAATTTGTTTGTTACTTTTAATAGAAAGCTGGATTGGTTACAGTAAAGGAATATACACTGAGATAAATTCAGGGAGAGAATGCAGGGTGTTTGTATGGACGGTTACAAGTCTTCAGAATCACTCTAGTCTTCCCCTTCCCTGGAAACAGAAAATGAGCAAGAATCTGTGGGTTAACACAGAGCACTCAGAAAGCCTCACTGCCAGGAACATTATGAATTACCGCTCTGTAATGCGGAAAGCCAGTAAAGTCATTGCTACACACACACATATCATTCACAACTGATGTCATCAGTAAATTTAGCAACAAAGAACCTACTCCCATTCACAGCTCATTATCCTGTGAAGGGAGATGCCTAACTCTAAATAAGAGTTTGGAAACAAAGAGTCAAACAGTCAAGAAACAGTTATCTGAATTACTGCTGTTCCTGTGGTTAGTGCTGTATTACAGGCAAATTCCTGTGAACAAAGCTGAAACAGAATCTGAGCTCTCATTTGTTGTTTGCAGGGAAGAAAATTCCAACTGAATATAAGGGGGGAAAAAAAATCACGAGGGTGTTTAAGCACTGAAATAATTTACTAAGAAAGGTTGTGGAATCTGTATCCTTAGAGATCCTCAGATCTTTGAGCTTTGCCTTGAGGAGAAGATTCAACTTCTTTATTCTGTATGTAATAGTAATGCACAGCTATGTTATGTACGATCTTCAGCATACAGAAAATGCATCATCCATCTAACTGTTTTATTTTTTATTTCAAATAATCTCCCCTTGCAGGATTATATAAACATTTTTGCTCTTTAAATCCAACAACAAGCTCCAGAACAACTTCCCCTCCTGGCAAACTGTTTTTGTTAACTGTGCTCTCTCTCTGCTCATTTGGTGTAGGCTCATGTGAGCACGAGAT